ATAAAACAATCCTTACTATCTATCTATCTTAATCTAACTCTACATTTGTTTGTAGTTGTGTCTGTCCAAGTGTCTAACTGCCTACATGTCTAAACGTTTAGATGTCTTTAACTGTCTGAATTTCTAAATGCCTAAATGTCTAACTGTATTTCTGTATAACTGTCTAACTTTATAACTGTCTAACTTTCTAATTGTCTGACTGTGTGAATGTATAATTGTTAAAATGTATTTCTGTCTAAATGTCTAAATGTAAAACTGTATAAATGTAAAACTGCCCTAAACTATCCAAATTTGTATCTAGTTAACTGTATAAATGTCTATCTATCTGAATGTATAACTGTTTTCTGACTATGCATGTGTCTGACTAATACCCATAAAGCAAAATACTTGAAATAACTTCAATGCTTGAAATATTTACTGAGACCAAACCAAGCCAAATGGATTCAATATTTACTAATCCCCCATTGAAAGTCAACTTTACTTTTTTACTCATCCTTTACATAGACTAACCAGTAACCATCCTTTACATAGACTAACCAGTAACCATCCAATCAAACCATAAAGAATATCATTCAAACCTTAGAGTTTATCATCTATATCTTGGTGTTTATCATCTAAACCCTAGAGTTTATTATCCAAACCATGCAGTTTATCATCTAAACCATGGAGTTTATCATCTAAACCCTGGAGTTTTTCATCTAAACCATGGAGTTTACCATCTATATCATGGAGTTTATGATATAAACTTTGGAGTTTATCATCTATACCATATGGAGGGTATCATCTAAACCATGGAGTTTACCATCTAAATCATGGAGTTTATCACATAAACTATGGAGTTTATCATCTATACCATATGGAGGGTATCATCTAAACCATATATTGTATCATCTAAACCATGGATATTGTCATCTAAACCATGGAGTTTACCATCTAAATCATGGAGTTTATCACATAAACTATGGAGTTTATCATCTATACCATATGGAGTGTATCATCTAAACCATATATTGTATCATCTAAACCATGGATATTGTCATCTAAACCATGGAGTTTATCATCTAAACCATGGAGTTTATCTTCTAAACCATGGAGTTTATCAAGTAGACCCTGGAGTTTATCATCCAAATCATGGAGTTTATCATCTAAACCAAAGAGTTTATCATCTAAACCATGTATTTTATCATCTAAACCATGAATCATCTAAACCATGGAGCTTATCATCTTAACCATGGAGTTTATCATCCAAACCATGGAGTTTGTCATCTAAACAATGAAGTTTGTCATCCAAACCATTTAGTGTATCATTTAACATATGAAATAAATCACCAAAAGAATATAGTTTATCATCCAAACCATGTTATCATATAAGTTATGAAGCTTATCATCTAAACCATGAATTTTGAGATCTAAACTTATAGAGTTTACTGTTTACACTTTTCCGATCTCAAGTTGCATGTTTATTGTGACACCCTGTATATCGATAGATATATGTGTATTTCTATTTCAATGACATGAGTTACAAGGACCATGAAAAGGTTGGTTTTGTGGAGCGCAATAAAAACTTTCTTTGAATAGTTTTAAAAGTTTTAAAATTAGACCACAACCCCGTCCCAGCACTAGCCTCTAGCTATCCTACCATCTTTACAACCAAAACATGCTTTTTACCTTCAACCAATGGTTCACTTTTTCTTTCAGGTTCAGCTCGGAGGAAAAAAGTTGATCAAAGTCAGTTTGTATCGTTCGCTAGGGCTGGGCATGGTCGCGGAGAACGGTCGTTATTCTTATAAAAGAATGGCTCTCAAGAATGGCGGTAGTTGTTTGTTTTAATTTAGTAACTTGTTCAACCTTTGTTATAATTAAAGAAGAGACATCGTCTTTTTAAACTATTGGTGTTCTTATTTATAAACAGCCGTTATTTTATTCAAACAATGACCTATGTTCCAATAAAAGAATGACCATTGTTTTAATTAAAGAAGCCATGGTTCTAATTAAAAAACAGCCATATTTTAGTTTTTTAAAATACTGGTGTTCTAATAGATTATAGAACAGCCGTTATTAAAATCAAAGAATAACTGTTCTTCTACATAATGACTTGAGAAATCATCGATTCATCCTAAAAATATTTTAAAGATTGGAGCAGTTTAATATTTCTATTCTTAGAAAATCTATCATTTTGATAGTGGTTACTTTATCAAAACGACGGGAACATTTCTGCTTCAAAAACAATGAAGGAAATTGTAAGAATAAAAACTGTGATATTTTCCAAATCATTAGATCAAATTTCAAAGGATGCCGTTGGCCTCCGTTTAAGTGGAAGGTCCCGTAAGATTACAATGACATTTTCTTAAAGATGTCAATTCAAAAATTGAGATTTTTTTATTCCAGGCCCACGATAGTATCTTCAAGAAACGTTGCTTTAAATTCCAGACCATTGCCAGCTCTATTCCTGACTCTTCTTTTCCATATCAATTATTCGCCCGGGGGGATCAAGTTGATAAATTATAAATGACAGGCAACCAGTTCATCTCTAAACTGGGTCTTCTTCACACTTCTCTAATATTCAGATTAAAATAAATTATGGATATAATGGTTAGAAGGTCTTTTTTAAAAAGTAAATATAATGTTGAAGATGATAAAGCAGAAAATACAATATTTACATCACATTTAACCCTATCACGATTAGGGGGGTATGCATAGGGAAGGGTGGAGGACGGTCAAACGGTTGGTAGGTGTTTCAAAAAAATAGTCAATTACTTTTATTATTGATTAAGCTACAGATATAAAATGTATTTCTTTGAAAAGCTCTAGATAGATGGATGTATTAGCATGTGTCACATGTTAAAGTTTGTCAAATCTAAAATTATCTATTTTTCAATATTTATCCGATGTACATCTTTCAAAGCCTCCCCAGTACCCGAACCATTATAGTTAAAGGTATAATTTTTTTAGCTGTCCTTGAATAGGGAATTAAGTCATACTCCCGTATCTTAACTCTAAATGCAAAATAATAGACAGGGTTGAACAAATACTTCCTTCCCCCCCACCCCCATCTTTGTTAGAAAAATAGCCCAATCCGGGTAGGGTTAATATATAAAAGTAAATGTTTTAGTCTTTTAATGAATACGTAAATCATGAATGAATGATTTTATCGGATGTTTGTGCGGATTAAAATAGTTTGAGTTCTTGAATATCATATATCTCTGAATTCTAGATAATCAAATAACAGATACGAGGATTAGGTGATCATTCAGCAGATAAAGACGATATTTGATAACTCACGTCTGCACTATCTTCAAATCCATCTGATGCCGGCATAATACAATTCAAACCAGTTTTGAAAAAACGCGGGAAATCTATATGATTAATCAGTTGCATTTTAACTTTTTTTATAGATTCATTGACATTGACCATCCTCGTACATGCGTGAGCCTCATAATAATAAAAGACAACATTGAAGTAATTTTATACATGTTATAGATATTGGTATCTAATATAAAGCAGCACTCTCTGTTTATTTGTTTGTATGTCCGATCATAACTCAGGAACCCCTAGACCGATTTGTCTCAAATTTTGGCTGGGGAACTAGTGGGAGCCAAGGGAATGTTCTTAGCTTGGTTAAAGAAAATTCTAAGTTGAATAGGTTGACTTTTAAATGGAATACTTTTTTCCAGGCAAAGTTCCTACGCTAGTCATTTATAAAGCAAATGTTTTATCAGTGGCTTGTAAATCAGTTTCTTAAGTGAGTTGGGTCTGTTGGACAATGGCTCTGTTTAATGCTCATTGGACTAATTAAAGCATTATTTGAGTCGACCTATCGTTTTCCACATTTGTATGGGTCTCACGGTATTTTTATAAATACATATGAAAGTACATCATGGCTAACCAAAAAGGAGTTTTGAGACTAAAAACAAGATTACTGTTCCACTGTAAAAACATGTGTACTTTCTCATGTGTTTATCCAGAGGTTTAGTCCGAAGCACGACATCTTCAAACACAGCCCACAGAATATAGGTTAGTATACGGGTTGTAAATGTTAAGTAGTCTGCCATATATTGAAATTAGGATTGTTTTAAAGGGACTGTATACGAAATTCAAATGACCCTTCATTCATTAGTGACTTGTTCAATTCACAACGGTACCCTTTAAACTATTTATATTAAACGGCAATAGGACTATTCCATTCTTTAGAAAATATTCTCTACTCTGTGCCTTTAAACGTTTATTTAATAAAGAATAATTGCTGCAGAAACAATAAAAGACATTTTCAGAATTCAACCCGCTGTATAGAAAACGACTGTATTTTACTCATTAATACTTAGATAGAGATTTGAAGTGTTCCATTGTGAATCATACATGTTCCTCTGTTAATGAAGGTTTAATTGAAACTACGCCAAGAGTCCCTTTAACATCATCAAGCATGTAAACTAACACAGGAAAATATTCTAACCAAACTTTAAAATAAATTCCTTGTGGTTATACTTCAAATAACACAAGGGGTCGGGGAAACTTTAAACTTATAAAAAACAAATCCTTTAAGAAATTTTTAACATCATGGAACGAAAAAACCATAGAAATAGTAATATTTTTTTCTTTTAAGAACTAGAATTCAAAAATTAATTCGCCGTTTTTTACGTAACTAAAAAGTATCTGTCTGACCTTTAGACTTTTTCTGTCTAAAGAAAAAATTATATGAAAAACGAAAAAATTGTGTCCTTAGTAAATTAACTAATTTGTTTTAATTCCAAATTACACAGTGTTATCAAGAAACAGACTGGAACCTGTTGATAAGGACTGTATATAGATTATACAAATTTACTGAGTTAAGGATAATGTTTTAACACATTCAAATTGTAAAAGTGAACATTATTCTAATAGTTTAAATTAGAAATAGTAGAACATTATTATTGTATCAGAATTCTTGACCACACTTTATTTTGTTGTACACTTAATGCATACAATGAGGGCTCTGTAGATTTATATACTCTCTGTACAGACAATTTAGTTAGAGAACCTTGGGTTATCTATTACTTAGTGAACACTACAGGTCTTAAAGGACATGTTCCAGCTTATATCTGTATTTATCCTTGTCCTTCTTCAACAGACTAGGTAATAAGACAGAAAGACTTATAGATTTGATAAATTATTATTATTTTCATTAAACTGCAACTTTTCGATATGTTTTATGAATACATTTAAAGACTAAAAGTTTTTTGCGAAAGAAGAATTATTTTGCTTTGTTTATTAAAAAAGTATCAAAATAGCATTGCTTGTGAGAGTATTGTACTCATATTTTGGCTACTCTTTTAACAATAATACACTTTGATAGCAATCACTTTTAGCATATGCAGTGCTGGGCATCATTCCTTGGGAACAATGGTTCTTTCATGGATACAAACAAAAGGGAACGGAACGGAAGAAACAATTTTTAAAATGTTCTAAACATTTGATTCTTTTTAATAAATACAATATTTGAGATTTTGTCTTTTAAAGATGTCTGCCTGTTGATTTGGTTGATGAAGGACAAGAACTTACACTAGATGTTCTTCACATCAACGATATTCATTCATACTTTGAGGAAACCAATCAATATTCAGCTAGATGCAGGGATCCAAGCCCTCAGTGCTATGGAGGTAAAGGAATTGAGTCTTTGTCACAAACTCTTATTTTCTAATCACTATATCTTTGGAACCAAATGTTGTAGACCTTAGATATTTCAAACTATGAATTCTGTTAAATCAAATAATCAGAGTTTGATATATCAAAGGTTTACAACATAGGGTTCTAAAGATATTGGGGGTTAAATATTTGATTTTGTTACAAAAAGACTCAATTCCTTTGAACTAAATCAAGAAAATTTAAAACTAACATTTAGTGTTTTAGGAATTGCAAGAGTGTTTACAAAGCAAAAAGAAATAAGAGAGAGAAGTCCAGCTACTACAATATTTCTGAATGCTGGAGACTTTTACCAAGGAACCCTTTGGTATTCCAAATTTAAATATGAACCTATGATTGAGTTTGGAAACCATCTGAACTACACAGCAATGGGACTTGGAAACCATGATTTTGATGACAAGATTGAAGGTCTTACTCCATTTTCTGATATGATCAGTTTTCCTCTACTAGCGTCCAATATTAACAGCGATGAATCAGATCTTGTGGAAGGAAAACATTATTACAAGTCTACTGTGGTTGAAGTTAACGGAACTAAGGTTGGCATTATTGGATACATTACTCAATCAACCAGATATAATTTCCCAGATGGAGAAGTTGCATTTACTGATGAAATTGCAAGTGTTAGAAGAGAAGCAGAAAAACTTGATGCTGAAGGTGTAAAAGTTATTATTGCTTTGGGACATTCTGGATATGAAACTGACATAGTGCTGGCTAAACAAGTTCCACTCTTAGATCTAGTTGTTGGTGGCCATTCTCACACCTTTCTATACACTCCGGAGAATGAAGATGATAAACCAATTGACTACATTCAAGGAGCATATCCAACTTATGTAACATCAGCGGAAGGAAATAAAGTTATTCCTGTTGTACAGGCCAAAGCCTACAATAAATATCTTGGCCATCTTACTCTTAATTTTGATGTAAATGGAGAACTAAAGCTTCCATTGGAATCTGAAGGTGTTAGTTTTGCAAAACCTTATTTGATGGATGGTACAGTGGCACCTGATGAGGAAACCTTAAGCATGATGGTTAAGTGGCAAGATAGGCTCAGTGATTACAAGAAAACTCTTGGTTACAGTGAGGTACTTTTAAAAGAAAAAGGAGATAGTGAAGAAAGTAATATTGGAAATGCAATTACTGACTCTATGATCGCTGTTTATGAGGATGCCTCAATAGCAATGGTTAACAATGGTGGTATTCGAAGCAGTATTCCTGTTGGTAATATTACTGGAGAAGATATCTACTATGTCCTACCATTTGAAAATACTGTGGATAAGCTTGTTTTGTTGGGAAGTGAGCTAAGAAAAGCAATTGAAGTTGCAGCCAGTAAACTCAGCTATGCTGATCATGATAAGTACCCTGGGTTTGGATTACAGTTATCAGGAGCACAGATAGATATGGTTGTGACAGAGGAAAACAATGCTGGTAATAGAATCCAAAGTTTCAAAGTGAAGAACACTGATGGTGGGTTTGACGACTTAAAAGAAGACCAACCGTACACCTTAGCTATTGGATCTTTTTTGGGTCCTGTCGGGAAACAAAAATATTTGAGAGGTATTTTCGATGAAGTGGAAATCATTGAGTATACTCCTGGAGTAAAAACAGATTATGAAGCTATGGCAGAATGGGTTGAGACCAACTCTCCAATCAATGCTAAAATTGAAGGAAGATTTTCAGTTAACTATGCCACTAAATTATAATATTTTAAGAGTTAATTACAGAACAATTAAATAAAAAAATTTTAAAAACGTGAATATTTGTATTATTTAGAAGTTATGTCATTTTTCTTCCTTATTCTTGTATATTTATAGTTTACTGAACAAAAGGTCATTTTTTATTCTAAATGATAATATTTTATTTTTTAAATTTTTAACAAGGATTTTAAAAAAAATTTTAAGTCTCATATTTTTCAAAAATAGAAATTTAAAGATATAAAACTTATATTTGGCTGCTTAAAAACTCTAATATTGAACAATAATTTGAGTATTTGTCTGCAATTAACATTTAAAATGGATAACAGGTAATAATACATTATAAATATATATTGATTAAAAAATGTAAAGAAATATTTTCTATTTTTACAACATACTCTCTTAGTATTAGGGTTTCCAGCAAAAAGGAAAGATCGTTTTCGAAAATTTAGCATTTTTTTGCAAAAAATATTTTTTTCGCAACCATTTTGCTCATTTTGCTTCATTTTCGCATTTTGTTTGCTCGCGAAAAATGCGAAAATTTCACGAAATTTTGCTTCAATCTGTTTCGCAAAAAGATGTGAAATTATCGCAAAATAGAAAATGTAAAAATTTCTTGAAAAAAGTTGCGCAAATTATCAAAAAAGACTAAATTTTGAGAATGCATCACTCATTTTCAAGGGGGGATTTATCCGCGAGCCCAATTGATGAATTAACACAAAATGTAAATATGGAGAAATCAGGCAATTCATAGATTTGCTTGAAAATACTTTCTTGACCGGCCGTGAAGATCATTCTTCTTAAAACACAAAATAAAATCTACTACGGGAAGAACCAAAATAATTCGGAAACTCAGAAGGATATCTTGTGAAATCAAATTCTCTTCATCAATCATTTATTAAAGTAAAGGAAAAGAAATTATTTATATAACATAATAAAACTTTAAATATTGAGCTATTAGAGCAGAAAATTTCACAAGTTCTTGTGAGCAATTAATTTTTTGCAGCTATAAAACTCATGGTTTTCACAGAATTTTCGCATTTCGAACATTTTGTATAGCATTTTGGAAAATTTTTGCCTTTCACAAAATATTTGCATTTCGCAAAATTTTCGCAAAATTTTCGCAAAAATATTTTCGAATTTTCACAAAGTTTTCGCACTTCGCATTTGCACAAAATTTTGCTTCATGTTCGCTTCATTTATTTTCATGAAAAAATTCTAAATTTTGCAAAAAAGTAATGAATAGGACCAACGAATTTGGCATTTTCACCCATTTTTTATCAAAATGTTTTGTTTGCTGGAAACCCTACTCAGTATTTAAAACCTTATAAGCAACCTTTTTACAATAGCACCCTTTGTCTGAGAAAAATTTATTTGTAATCTTAAAATTTAATTTTTGTCTATTGAGGTTCTTTTGCGGATTTGCAGAGATAATGAAAATGAGAGAATTTTTGTGTTTTCAAGACAGAAAAACAATATCTTACTCAGTCATACTCGGATTTAGGAATAAAGAGTCTCACTGTAAATCAGGCATGGAACACTTAAAATGGTGGGTTTTCTCTACAATCCTTTATATCATACTATCCCTGTTGAGAACCTTATTGTAAATTATTCTTTACTAAGCTACTGACCTGAAATTGGTAATAAAAATCATGTCTCATTCTTTAAATATTCTGAGTCAAACCTTGACCTTCACATAAGAATAGTTATTTTTGAACAAAGCTATTAAAGTTTGAAAATTAATTGAACATGTTACCTTTTTATATAATTTATTCAGATTTCTTAAATTTTCTTATTGTTTCACACAAACTAAAACTTTGAATTTGAAAAATAGTTAAAAGTTACCAGCATAGGTGATAGTAAACCTTCCTTCAATCTTAGCATTGATTGGAGAGTTGGTCTCAACCCATTCTGCCATAGCTTCATAATCTGTTTTTACTCCGGGAGTATATTCAATGATTTCAATTTCATCAAAAAATTCTCTCAGATACTTTTGTTTCCCAACAGGACCCAAAAAAGATCCAATAGCTAAGGTCTTCTTCTAATTCCTCAAACCCACCATCAGTGTTCTTCACTTTAAAACTTTGGATTCTGTTACCAGCATTGTTTTCCTCTGTCACAACCATATCTATCTGTGCTCCTGAAAACTGTAATCCAAACCCTGGAAAAATATTAGGATTGGTATAACTTAGCAAACTAGCTGCTACTTCAATTGCCTTTCTTAGCTCAGGTCCTAACAAAACAAGCTTGTTGATTGTATTCTCATATGGAATAACATAGTAGATATCTTCTCCAGTAATATTGCCAACAGGAATACTGCTTCGAATACCACCATTGTTCATAATAGCAATTGAGGCATCTTCATAAACAGCAATCATAGAGTCAGTAATTACATTTCCAATATTACTTTCCTCACTATCTCCTCTTTCTTTTAAAAGTACCTCACTGTAACCAAGAGTTTTCTTGTAATCACTGAGCCTATCTTGCCACTTAACCATCATGCTTAAGGTTTCCTCATCAGGTGCCACTGTACCATCCATCAAATAAGGTTTTGCAAAACTAACTCCTTCAGATTCCAATGGAAGCTTTAGTTCTCCATTTACATCGAAATTAAGAGTAAGATGGCCAAGATATTTATTGTAGGCTTTGGCCTGTACAACAGGAATAACTTTATTTCCTTCTGCTGATGTTACATAAGTTGGATATGCTCCTTGAATGAAGTCAATTGGTTTATCATCTTCATTCTCCGGAGTGTATAGAAAGGTGTGAGAGTAGCCACCAACAACTAGATCTAAGAGTGGAACCTGTTTAGCCAGCACTATGTCAGTTTCATATCCAGAATGTCCCAAAGCAATAATAACTTTTACACCTTCAGCATCAAGTTTTTCTGCTTCTCTTCTAACACTTGAAATTTCATCAGTAAATGCAACTTCTCCATCTGGGAAATTATATCTGGTTGATTGAGTGATGTATCCAATAATGCCAACCTTAGTTCCGTTAATTTCAACCACAGTAGACTTGTAATAATGTTTTCCTTCCACAAGATCTGATTCATCACTGTTAATATTGGACGCTAGAAGAGGAAAGCTGATCATATCAGAAAATGGAGTAAGACCTTCAATCTTGTCATCAAAATCATGGTTTCCAAGTCCCATTGCTGTGTAGTTCAGATGGTTTCCAAACTCAGTCATAGGTTCATATTTAAATTTGGAATACCAAAGGGTTCCTTGGTAAAAATCTCCAGCATTCAGAAATATTGTAGTAGCTGGACTTCTATCTCTTATTTCTTTTTGCTTTGTAAACACTCTTGCAATTCCTAACAAATTTATGTAAGCTTAATATTTTCGTGATTAGCAATTTTGTTACCTCCAAAGCACTGAGGACTTGGCTCCCTACATCTGATTGAATCCTCACTGGTCTCCTCAAAGTATGAATGAATATCGTTGATGTGAAGAACATCTAGTGTAAGTTCTTGTCCTTCATCAACCAAATCAACAGGCACACATCTAATACAAAATTAAAGAACTAAGGAATTATGTTTAGCAAATTTTCATACAACGTTTTGTAAATTTTATGAGACCAATGCGAAACCAAAATAAAATAAGCATGATATTTTATGGAAAAAAAATTTCAAAAAAGAAAATTTTTGAAAAAAAATGCAAAACAAAAATCTAATTTTTTTAGCCTATAACACCCCCCTCCTGATTTTTAATCAAGAAAAACTAAAAATGTGCAAATTTCCTTTGACAGGTTGTTTGCAAAAAATTTGCAATTTTTTTCGCAAAACTTGTGCAATTCGTTTCCTTATGTCAAAGGATTTCCAAAAAGCTAAATTTTATCAAAATCTGGCAAGTGGAAGTGGGTCAAAACAAAGATTTAGTTTGCTACAGGAAAAAGCAGTCATTCAGGCAGTGTGCCTGAGAACTCAGGCAGTTAGTATTAAAGCCCGGTTTTAGGCCTAAAGAGAGGGCTTTGAGTATGTAGAAAAAGTCAGAAAATTTCAACAGCCTCAGGCCAATACTTTTTGAGTTATGTAAAAAAAACTACAGGGGGGGGGTCAAATTGCCCCCCCCCAGCAGGAATAGGGTTAAAAAGTTTGTAACAGTTGAAACTAAAAAGTAAAAATGAAAATAATTTTAACAGATCTTCTATGTAATCATCATGTGTCATATAAATGTTTAAATTCAGTAAAACAGATTTCACAATGATCTGTAAGGAAACTAGAAAATCATTTATTTCATTTTAAATAAAAAAGAAACCCCTCATTTTGATGGTCTTTTGTTTTATTTTGATAATTTTTTGTGTGTGTTATCTTTATTTTTCTTCTTTTACCTAGCCAGCTGAATAATTATAAGGATATATGTAAAAAATAACTTAAACATGTCAGATAAGGCTTCTAGAACACACTAAGCATAGACAACTAAAATTGCATAAAATGAAAAGTTCAAAAAGTACAAAAAATTGTTGTTTATCTTTTATTCCCTACTTTATGATAATAAATTTCATTTTTAAGAAGAATTTTTTATAGAAGAATGTAACTTAAGTAAATTAAAAGTGAGTTCTTGAAAAGATTTTTTTTCTGTGTTTAGGATGCTATAAATATATCTATTAATTGTTACGTAATTTAGAAAACAGACGATAGAAGGAGTTCAAAAAAAATATCTTACTTGGCTTCGAGGACTCTTCACATCTCTTTTCTAGTAACATTTTTAGCAGTTAACCGTTGCTAATTTTTTTGTGGATTTTTCTGTTTAAGTTGACACATTTTCAAAATAAAAAAAGTTCGACCTTTTTTTCTAGACAATATTTGTCTTTTCCATAAACCTTTCCTGGGCCTCATGTGAGTTGTCACATTAAGTCGGTTCAGCCGTTTCGACGTTTATCGGAGACAAACAGACAAGTATATATATAAGATATGGGTATTTTGTATTGAATAGATTATATCTGTAATCAAACCTTATGCATTTAAAGATTTGTAAATGCTTGAATCAAATAGAACAGAATATATATTAGTGTGGAATTTAGAAAATCCTTCGGTATTAATTTTGTCAGTTCCTTTCAGC